ACCTGTCCTTCTCCAATTAAATGGCCTAAGAACATAATTTTCGATCTTGCAAACTCACATTTTTCTCTCTTTACATACAGTTCATGTTCTCTCAATCTACTTAGGATTTTAGAAAGATGAGTTACATGTTCTTCAATTCCTCTACTATAGATTACAATGTCATCTAAGTAGACTACAACAAAATTGTCCAAGAAATCATACAACACATCATTCATTAAATTACAAAACGTTGCTGGAGCATTTGTTAAACCGAAAGGCATAACTAGAAACTCGTATGATCCATACCTCGTCACACACGTAGTCTTATGCTCATCTCCGTCAGCAACTCTCACTTGCCAATACCCCGATCGCAAGTCCAACTTCGTAAAGATCGAAGCGCCACACAATCTGTCCATCAAATCCTGAATCAAAGGAACAGGGTATTTGTTTTTGATGGTTACCTTGTTTAGTGCTCGGTAGTCCACACACATGCGAAGGCTCCCATCCGCCTTCTTTTGGAACAAAACCAGAGCACCATATGGAGCCTTGGAAGGTCGAATAAATCCTGACTCGATCAGCTCTTCCAATTGCTTCCTTAATTCAGCCAATTCTCTTGGCGACATTCGGTAAGGAGCTTGAGATGGTGGCTTTGTCCCCGGCACCAGCTCAATTCGATGGTCGATGGCCCTCCTAAGCGGGAGTTTCTTTGGTAGCTGAGGCGGCATCACATCTTCGAATTGCTGTAGCATGCTAGCAATCTCTTTCGGCACCTCCCCACAATAGTCAGCTTTCTCCTCCACTATTGTTGCTAGAAATACTTCCCCTCCTTTCTGCAATGATTTATCAATAGCAATGGCCGATATTAAGCTCTTCTTTCCTTTCGCAACATTCGCAACTGCGACGTTGCAGCATGGGACAAAACATGGGCATGCCTCACTTGCAATCATAATTCCATTGAGATACGGCATCAAAGCAATCTTGGCTTTTCGTAAGAAATCAAGGCCAAGGATAATTTCATAATCATCAAGAGTTATGACAAGCACATCATGCTTACCTCTCCACTGATCCAGCACTATCGGCACATCATAAGACATCCCAGCAATCTTCTGCACCTTCGAGTTTACTGCCTTCATGGATGTCTGGCTGTCACTCAGCCGCAAGCCAAGTTCCTTCACCAGCCGATCTACCACGAATGTGTGGGTTGCGCCCGAATCCAGCATAGCATTTATGTTCTTGCCGTTTATCTCAATCTTTACATACATTAGGCTGCCCGTTGCCCCTGGCTTCCCTTTTCGTAATGTCTCAATCCTTGCCAAGTCTTTCTCAACATGGCAGTTTTCGGCAGCCGCATCCTCCGATTCCGCTACCAAGCAACATAACACACGCATGGGATTGACATGTGTAACCATCCCCTCTTCTTCGTCGCTATTCCCAGCCCGAATAGCATTCAGCTTCTCCCTCTTTGGGCATTCTCTCGCAAAGTGAGGTCCGTCGCAAATAAAACAAGTAAGGTTGGGCTTAGTACCATTACCTGGTGTACTCGTAAATTTGGCCTTGCCCTTCTCCGCGGCAGTAGCCTTTCCTACAACCCCACCGAACTTCTTCTTTGGTCTTTCCTCCTTGCTCTTTCCCTTCGATTTGAAGGAGGCTGATTTGTAGCCCTCTCTCATAGGAGCTTTATAATCCACCAAGTTGTCCGCGACAGCAATAGCAGAAGACAAAGAACCCTAATTCTCCGTCACCCATCACCACCATGGTAGGTGTCACAGGGTTAATTTTTCGCCTCGCAAATAAACCCGTGCGGCAGCCTAGTCCCGCTAGACTCAGCCTTGCCTCAAATAAATTTGTACATATTTGTTCATGCATTATAGATTGTGTCATGCATCATTTATATGAGAGTTTGTACTGAAAAACTTTAAGTTAAGTGGGGGACTAGCAGCTTACCTTACGACTTTTAGTCAAGGTTTAAGTTTGTGTAAACCCCAACTCTTCGTTGAGTGCTTAGACTGGTAATGGTTGGTACACGTGCCATCTCATTGCCTACAAGCCCCCATATTGCCTCCACGAGGGCGATCACTGGGACAGCAAGAGACCCTTTTTTAGAGACTGAATAGCCAACCTACCCTTGTCAAGCATAAACGTGTTTTGCATAAAACATAATCCTAACCATAAAGCATCCGATTTTCAGGTCTTTTAACAAAAAAGAACGATAAGATGGCTATCATTACCAAATTTACTACTGTGGAATATGGGCAGAACTCTGAATTGTCACAATTATCAGAGGGAGATTGCTCTAGAGTTGATGCAAGGAAGCTTCCAGTAGTTAAAGACCTGAATTACGTAGCATGTGAGAAGAGAATATTGGTCCATAGCCAGAACATCGATGAGACGGCATTTTCCGGAAAATATGGGCGATTGCTAGAAATTGCAAAGATAGAAGTATTGAACCCAGCAATCAAAGCCTTGATAAACTTTTGGGATCCCGATTACAGATGTTTTTCCTTTGGAAATGTGGATTTGT